CTAATAGAATATATTTTATTATCGTGTTTCGCTGCAATGATGTTGATTATCTTCTAATTAAATTCAAACCAACGGAAGAATTTAATTTTAAAGAGTAGTTATATGTCTTTTAAGTTAATTTATGAGTTTTATGCATTAATTCTATTTTCTGTCCAATGGTGATGTAGAATTGATGCAGAAGCATCTTATAAGTTTTATTTTTTAACCGACGAGATCACTCGACTGCATGTCAATGGGCTGCAATGCTAGGGTATGTGAATGAAAAGGCTTGAGTCAAGCCAGTTCAGGATAGTTTTTTGTTAGTTTACGAATTTTCTGATTAAATTAGAACTAGCAGGAAGATTTAATTAGAAAAATAAAGTATAAGTGAATGTTTTAGTCATTATGACTAAATTTTTCGTTACGGTGATTTGTATATAGATTTATCCCGTATGGGGAGAAGTTTGGCATAGTACTTATGCTAGTCAATCCTACATGGCGGGAGAAATTTTATGATGACATATGTTTTTGTATCCCGCATAGTAAGAGAAGTTTGGGTAGCTCTTATGCTATCCTAGTATTGACCATGGCACAATAGAAATGCACCGTCATGGTCAATACTAATCAAAGGACAAGAAAAAGATGCAAGCATAACTTGCAAAAGTACAGTTAATAAAAGACATCGTCAAGTTCTTGAAGTGGAATGAGAAAAGTGTACTCCTATACGGATCAAGAAATAACTTTATTTGCATGGCATAATCATGTGAATGAAGTAAGTCATAAGTGTCTTCTCGTTCATAGTTTTCTGAATAGTTCTTGAAATTATGGCAGTATAGTTCATGCCATATTTCGAGGGGAAGAATTATGAGATGAATTAAGAGTAAGAATTAAGATCAATTAAGAAACTACTCTTCATTAAGAGGGAGATAAATATTTTGATGAATGTGACCGTTGGTCATAACAATGATACCCCTAAGCAGAGAAACAGCTAAATTCCTAGATTTTTTAAAGTTCTGAGAGGAAGATAGCGTAGTCACTATCAAAGATATTAAAGCGGTGCTTAAAGCGCCATATAAGGTTTTAACAGATTGAACCTAAATAAGAAATTGGAAGATACACTATCTTTATAAAAAGATAGGATGATCTGGGGGAGCACGATATGTAGAGACTTATGATTTGAAGAGAAGCGGGACTACGTGCCCACTTCAGTGATTCAAAACAACGAATTTCTCGATACCTGTTGATGTTGTATGACTTATACAACACCTGTTATTGGCTCTTCGAAGAAGATGAATAATGTAAACAAGAATCTTGTGATACAAGAGCCTGTAGAATCAATTGCCTCTTGGCAATCAAGAGCAACAACAGCCCCACATGAAAGTGTCAGTAGCTGAGGCCCCGGAAGGTCTCAAAGAATTAGTAAACCAGTTTTCTGATGACTATGAAGTCTATGTTAGTGAAGAAATTCAAATGGAGAGTGATTCCACCTCATTTGAAGAAGCCATGAGAAGCGTTTATTCATCTAAATGGCAAGAAGCTATGAAAGCTGAAATGAATTCGATGAATACCAACGATGTTTGGAACTTAGAAGAAATTCCTAATGGAGCAAAAATAGTAGGCTGTAAATGGGTCTATAAAACAAAATGTAACTCCAAAGGAAATGTGAAAAGATATAAAGCACGACTTGTAGCAAAAGGCTTTACGCAAAGAGAATGAATAGATTACAATGAGAGTTTTCTCTAGTCTCATGCAAGGATTCTTTTAAAATCATAATGGTGTTATTGGCACATTATGATTTAGAGTTACATCAGATGGATGTAAAGACGGCATTCCTCAACGATGATTTGTATGAAAACGTTTACATGGCACAACCCAAAGATTTTGTCGTGGAAGAAAAAGAACGTATGAGATGCCGCCTGTAGAAATCCATTTATGGGTTAAAACAAGTCTCTAGACTATAGTATTTGAAGTTGATGAAACGATAAGAAAGTTTGAGTTTAAAGAAAATAAGAAGGACAATAGCGTTTATGCGAAGTTCTAGAATGGAAAATTCTTTTTCCACATCCTGTGTATAGATGACATCCTACTCACTAGTAGTAATGTTAATCTGTCATTGGAGAAGAAGTCTTTGTCCTCAAGTTTCAATGTGAATGATCTTAGTGAAGCCTTATTGGTTCTAGGAATTGAAATTCACCAAGATAGATGAAAATGGGTATTAGGACTATCGCAAATACATACTTAGAAAAGATTATGAAGAAATAAAGTATGCATGCGAGTAAACCTACGCCTGCTCCTATAGTCAAGGATAATAGATTTGGGAACTTTCAGTGTTTCAGGAACCGATATGAGATCGATTAAATGAACATGGTTCCATGTGCTTCAGCTGTTGGAAGCTTAATGAATGTACAAGTAAGAACTTACCCTGACGTAGTTTACGTATCCGGGATATTTTGGCAGAAGTCCAGTCCAGATATAGATCACTAGAATGGAGTTAAGAATGTCTTGCAATTTTTGTAAAGTATCATAGGCCTCATGCTGAGTAAGAAAGAATAAGTACTCTCAAATAGTTGTGGGTACAAATATTAAGTTTTGGCGAGATGTGTAGTGAAATCCACAGTAGTTGCTAACACTCACAGTTGGAGTATTATTGTGGAAAACCTCCAATGAAACAGTTGTGGTGTCATCAATGATGCATACCATAGTATAGCTTGTCATGAGGCCTCAGGAACAGGCAAAAGTGGTTAAGGGAATATGTATCCGGATTTAACAATGGTAGTCAACAACAATAACCATTTAAAGTAGTTAACTCCTAAGACAACAGGTCAAGTGTGCTGCCAAACATATTGACATTAAGTTATATGTTGTAAAGGAGAAAATTCAGAATCATTTTGAAAGCATTGAGCACATAAGTACCAAGTAAGTACTTGAGGATCCGGTTGCTAAAGGCTAACCATCCAATGCGTTCAGAGAACACACAGTCGACATGGGTTTACGGAAAACCTTATAATTTCTGGATGTTTCAAAATAGAGAGGTGCATTGTTGTTGTTTAATCTAATGGCAATTGACCGTGACGATGAGTCACGCTCTATGCACTGATCTGCGATGGAATGGAAAAAAGATAAAGTAAGTTAAGTTTAAGTCATAAGGTGAGATCAAGGGGGAGAATGTTAGATTGATCTCCACCACTGGCCCAAAGACTATTTGGGCCCTTGATCCACGCCCTGATCGGGGGCGCCCAACCGTTCTCCTGGCTGATGAGCCTCCGTCGTGCAGCGCTATAAAAAGAGTAAGGTGAGGGTCGGGATGCAAGGGGTGAGGTTCACCATAACCGCCAGTGTCCCATCGAGGTTTCTAACCCTAATCCGATCTAGAGGGCGTGCTGTGAGCAACGAGAAGCTCCACCGCCTTCACCGCCACCACTGGACCGCGCCTACACCGATGCCACCTTCGACACCCTAGCGGCTCGTTAAGCTACCTCTAGTCCGACACTCGAGGCCACGTCGCTGCTCCACCATGGCTGCGACGCTGCTTGGTGAGGTATATCAGCAAGTTCTTTGTTGAGTTTTTTACCCACTGATCTACGTCTAGATAGTCCTAGAAATCTATCAATGAGAAGTTTATGGTTTGTAATACTTTTTGTGCTGCTGCCCAGTTGGGGGTGTGGAAACTAAGAAACAACTTGCATTTCCAGGATATGAGTTGGAAAGATATCAATTATCTGCTGTTGGAAATAGCAAATATGCTGCAAAGCTGGAGGCTGTCATTTCCTATGGAGAGGAGACTGGAGTTTATAACAAGATGGAAGCTGCTGATGTCTATGGCGACAAGACCAGCAAGAATTGGTGGCTGAATTTGGTGTCAAATGAAGCTGACAGGTTGCTGTTCCAAAAGGCTCACTGCTGGGATGAAGAAACGCCTGAGGAGCTGAAGCCTTTCCTGACCAGAAATGCTGATGAGTCTTGGTCTGCTGGGAAACGGCTCTGTTTGACGAATGAGGAATAGCTGTAGTAGTAGTTTGTGTGTCGGTGCTGCTGTTTCTCTGGGTTGGCAGACTGTTCTGCTCTTTTCTGTAGTCTCTAGTCTGGTGGAGTTTTGGTTTGGAGTGTTTCTGAGACTTTGGGTTGCATCTGTGCTATAAATGGCCGGGGCCATGCCCTTAAACTCTAAAAAAAGATTTAATAATATCTGTTGTGAGAGTTCTTCTTCATGAGGCTTATGCCACTGATAAATCTCACAGTTTAACTATTGAAGATGCTACTCCTACTCTTTCCCTTTCAAATCCTGTGTATTGAGGCCTTAACCGTCTCCCTTCTCCAGACGGCACATGTTCAGGATATACTTCTCTGGTGGAACAGGTTGTTGATGGTCCAAAAGAAATTTTATGTGATGCTTCTGTTTGCTTGCATGGTGGTGTGCGTTTGGCTTCTTTTTTGCAGGTTGTTTTCTCCATGAATCTTTGATCCTTTGGACTTTTGGCTGAAGCACATGCCCCTTGCTTGGTGTCAAAATCGCTAATACGCTTAACTTGCAGGTGGCAAACTTGATGACGGATAATCAGATTCTTTCCGGGTCATTGCTCTCTAAGGCTAATTCTTGTTGAGATTGAATGAACAAATCAATAGACAAAGGCAAGACATTGCCTGATAGTTTTGGTTCCGCAAGACATTTCCTTTTATATATGATGCCTTTATTGATGGACATGTGAGTCGTAATCGATTTTGTACAGTACTTCACATTCAGATGCACACCTGTGGCCCAAAAAAAAAAAAAAAAAGCTTTAGCATGCAGGATTTAGCTCATATGCAAATAGTTGATGCTGAATCACAATTGCAAAGTTTGGGTGTGCTATAATCAGATCGGAGGTCTGTCCAGACCAGCGATAAAACAAAACAAAAACAATATTCATGGAACTAAGTTAAAATATCAGTTAGTACCATCCATGTACATTATCCATTAATTAATACGCAAAGGCACACCGTTGCCTTTTCCTAAAAAATATCACTCAACAAATAATGTCATGCTAATCATCTGAAGTACAGTGCACGTTTTTGTCTGCAGCTACCTCTTTCTTCAACTTCTCCCAGACTTCTGGACCCTCGTGATGTTTTAGGACCAGATAGTTAAGAAACCGCTTCTCTGAACAAGCTAATAAAGTGGACAGAGCAAAATTAGGAGGAACCAGCCCTCTTTCTTGCAGCCAATTGTACATTAGAAACCTAGCTTTGGTTCTCTCTATAGTGAACGACAAGAACGCGGGGTATCCAACCAGAGAGCTTAGAGGATATGATGTCTCATTTAAAAGGAATGATATCTTGGACTCAAGGACATGTATCTTCTGATTCAAAACCTGCGGCGCTACTTTGATCATGTTCGCTGCATCCTTGGGCTCAAATCCAGTCTTCACCAGAAAGTCAAACCGGTCTTGTAGCTCATCACCCTTACCACGGAAAGCTTTCACTGCCTTATTCATATCATCAGAGCCTTCCTCAAATCCTATGTTTTTCAAAAATTTCACCTTCTCCTTCAGTGATTTCTCAGTCCTGTCACAAGGCGGTAGGCGGTTGACCTTTAACCCTAATGCATATTTCATCAGTTCACGTGGCTCTTCCATTATAATCTTCCACAAACGCTTCTTCCCGACATTGAGATATGTAAGAATACTGTTTGCCTTCTTCACTCGAGCAGAACCAAGCATTGATGCATTTGCTACCACAAACTTCTTAATATCCTCCTCGCTTACATCAATGTTAGTTAAGAATAGTATAACACTCTGTATGTTCCTTGCGAAACTCCTGGCCTGTACATCTGGGAAGTCCATGAAAAGATTAAACAGATCTTCTTTTCCAGACCCTGCTTTTAGCATGATGGCAACTGCCTTAAATAGTACCTTTCCAGAACCATCCAACAAGAAATCTGGGTGTTGCCTGATCAGTTTACCAATACCCTCCTTATCAAATCCCAATTCAGTAAAAAATTGAGGAACTTCAACCATCTTTCTCCAATTATACGACTTCTTTACAGATAAGAATTGACCAATCCAGTCTCTCTGAATGCCAATGTCATCTAGCCACTTTAAGATCTTCAATTCAGCATGTGGGCCACGTGTCAATACGGCAGGGCAACAGGTCACAAGTTTTATCACAGTGGTCTTACTGAACCCCAGATCCTCAATAGCTCTTAGCTTAGATGCAAGCACACCATCACCAAAACTGAAAACCTCCCCAGCATCCCTGTATATCCCCCCTATCTTAGTGCGCATAACCCCATAATTGCAAAGAACATGGTAGTTCTCCATCAATGTCTCATCATCAGAAAGAAACATGAGATCCTGAGGCAGAAAGGATTCATACTCACTCGGCCTTAAGCCCATGCTCTCAAAGAATGGCTCAAACTCGTTGATCGGATAATACCTGAACAGACGCTGCAACGCAGTAGTGGCCCTCTCATCCCTCATCTCCCTTGTCTTCACCTTTGACCTGAACACTGCCTCACCCCCTCCACAGGGTCCTTGATAGCATCCTTCACCTGGTTCAGCAGCTTGCTCACAAAGGCAGGTGAGTGCTTGCTTATATGCTCAGCATCCGAAAAGCTCAGGCCCCGTGTGACATGGAGGTACTCCATGAAAGTCTGCTGAGCGGTCCAGAACACCCGCATCTTCTTCATTCGCTTGACCTCCTCATCTACCATTACCGCCGCATCAGCACGATCCAAGGGTTTCTCACCCCTAACACGTGCAGGAGCAGCCGAGTAAGCCCGCAACTGATACCTGTGACCAATTGGAGTGACCCCCCACCAATTCAGCACAGCTGATGATTCTTCAACATCCCGGGTATCAGTAGCACACCGGTGTGGTGCTCGGTACGGCTCACCGTGCTCCACAATGAGCTGAACCAGGCGAACCCGCCTGAGGCCGCGACCGGCCCTTAGTGCGCTGCGGAGGATCATGGGGAAACCGAGCTGGAAGCGCTGGCAGGACGGCAAGAAAGGCGCCAGCTTTGGGGTGCTACTCCACGGTCGCCATCGATGGCGACTCCAGCTTCTGCACCCTCAGCGCCCAGTCTGCACGCGGAAATCAAAACGCCAAATAAGGCAAACGTTAAGATCGATATCTCCCGCGGGGGCAAGATGCTTCATACCAGAACGAGAGCGTACCAAGTGAAGTAGCACGCTGCTTCTGCTGCTGCTGAGGCGGCGGCGTCAAACGGTCGCCGGCGCAGAATCGTGCCTGGCCGCCGGTGCCCGAGCTCCTTGGTGGAGTGGGGGGGGAGCAGACGAAGCTGCGGCAAAAAGGGCGCAGACTGCGAGGAGGTGGGAGGACGCAGGCTGCTGGTGGTGCGCGGCGAACGAGACGGTGCGGCCGGCGGCGGAGGGGAGTTGAGCTGGGGACCTGGGGTTTGGGGGTTTGGGTGTGCTCCGGCGGCCGGAAGTGGAAGCTGTTACTCCACGGATTGGGCCCTTGATTAGCGCTCGATCGGAGGTGCCCAACCGACTTGGTGGGTCCTGTCGTGCAGCATGACAAAGGGGAGGTGGAGGTCGGGGCACACAGGACGAGATTAACTGATGGGCCGTCGCGCGACTTCACCGTCAACTTCAGCCCAGAAATCACCATGGATTTTTTCACCTCTCACCCTTTCCTCTCTATCTCTCTATAATATGTACTAAGATGCACTACATCTTTTATCCCGAATAGAGCCATTTCGGCTAGATCTATGCTCAATGATCCTATAAATAATTGCCTCAAACGAAAAAGGATTTTTTAAAAAAATAAATAAAATATATCTCGTCTTTTCCAGAATTAATTGCCTCAAATAAAAAATTGCAAAGAAAATAGAAATTAAAGCGGTGAGATTTAAATTACGATCACTTCAATTGATCTTAGGATTGCAATTGACAGGATTGCCTTTTTTTATTTGTATAAATTATAGACAAATCTAGACGCTCATATATATTTACACATATTCACACCTATTATTGTGCGCGTGCATACACTACCTAGAGTATATTTGAAAGATTAAGCTGATACTTGAGATTTACAGATCACTTATAAAATTATAGTTTTCCAATATTCAATATAAACATTGATGAAGATATACATAAAAATTATTGAGCTGGACAAGACCTACAACTTTATATTTCATAACATTTTTCTTTTTCATTTGACCTCATATGGAGATAGATTTATTTGAAAATTAAACCTTTTTCATTTGACCTGATATTATGGAGATAGATTTGAAAATTATAGAGGTCTACACCCTGTTCGCTTGATCGTATCAGCCATACTTATTAGCTATGATATAGTGTTTTTCTCTCACAACAAAACAGCATCAGCCGATTTATAAGCCATATATTTGTAGCTCATAACGTTAGTTGGCAGACCGTCTGTTCACGGAGAAAAAGTTCTGGTCCGAAAGTGGTTAAGCCAAAACTTGTGCAGGAAGAAGGGCGTGGAAGGAGAGATGTGGACTTTGCACGTTCAATCAGAATACTCATATGCCAATGAGACTTCCCAGCCACAGCGAGCTTCTAGGCTGCTGAGATCGGCGCCAAAGGGTGAGATGGAGCAAACCACCAGAGGGCTTCCTTCAAACTAAACTGTGACGCTTCTTTCATCCAGGAAACCATGTCCGGGAGCTGGGCCGCTGGGGTTTCTTAATCCGCGACCAAGATGGAGATGTGGGGATGACGGGTCGAGGGAGGATTAACAATGTGCTAAGTGCATTCCATGCTGAATTGATCGCCTGCTTGCAAGGCGTGCTTGTGCAAGTTCTCGTTGGTTTCAGCCAGGGCTTATCAGCCAGTCAACAGTGTTTTCCTCTCACAATGAACAAGCACCAACCGGTCTTATCAGCTCAGAAATCAACCAGCGAACAAGCCGAATATATGAATCGGCAAGCTTATCCTAGAAACGGACGTCGGGACGCGTTCAATGTTCAGCAAGCCCTGCAATCCCAGAGCTTTGATGTTCGGCCGGAAGGGGTTTGCTCGAGGAGCTCAAGTCCTTGACTAGTTTAAATTTCAATGAATTTGTTTGTTTTCTGTGCAGAGCTGCTCATGTTTTGGCGGGTTTTAGTTATGGATGCATCGACGAGGCACTAATCACTTAGCTCCATCCCTGATGATGTTTTTGTAATCGTGACTGACGATTTGTCAGTTTGAGTAATGAATCGGCCAAAGTTTTTTTTTAAAAAAAATTGTGCAGAGCCAAATATTCGTTAGCTTTAACAGCATCAGGTTCAGTCCTCTCACCATGACAAATTGTGTGCAGTTTCTGGATTTTAATATGACACAGCAAGCATACCAGATGGCTAGAAATTATAGATATTCTTTTCCTGTTCATAACGCTTCAACAACTGGTGTTGACCAAGCATACATCAACGAAGTGAACAGGAGACATCCAGTTAGCTAAACAACCAACCACTGTATACACAAGTAATATGTTCGAATGTAGGTCGCCGACAAAAACAAGCACACAACCTCAAACGCATTCACAAGTTATACAATAAGCAATGACCAATCAAACAAAGGCCGAGGCATAACCCCCTGAACCCCAGCAAAGTGCAGGTAAATGCCCTTTTCGCTGGGCTAAAAGTACTGTTGGCTCATTTATTGTGAGATAAAAATATTGTTTGTTGGCTGAAAAAGTACGGCTTATAAGCCAAGCGAACAGGGTAAAAAGGTCTGTTGCGCTGAAGTCCATATTACACACACCTGGGATGAAAATGTAAAAAAGAAGAGAAATGTTGGTGGTGTACAGTGTTTTCACGGTAAGGGTGCCTATGACCCAAGTCTCCTTCCTCCACGGTTCAGCAGAACAACCTCAGCGAGGGAGAGCAATCCAATCCTGCTCAAAGATCTGCAACAATACACAGCATACTGAACCCTAAAGTGTTCAGTAAATTGATCTACTTGTCAGCGTGTCGCCGCTTGTGTCTCTTGTGGCCATGGTTACCGTTACCACCACGAGGCCTTTTATTCTTTTTGGTGCTACATAAAAGCAACGGAAGATAATTTTCAGTTTACTTGAGGTCATGCTAATAGCTATTAGGATTGAAATCAGCAATTAATTTATGAGAAACTAACCAGAAGGTCTCTACTAGAAGCCTATATATAATGAAGACAGGCAGAGCTAGCAAAGCAGAAGCCTGTACATAAATAAGTATGTTTGTTAGATGACCACTAAGCTGTGGTTCCCTGCCGAATTAATGTGGAGTGCTTACCAGGAACCAAACTAACTCCTTCGTTGCAAATGATTTTGTTATGTCATGCTGGTGAAGGTAGTCCATGATGCTTGCTTGAGCCTACAAAGGAGAACATGTTAGAATTTTGTCACATCAGTTTTTTTTTTTAAAAGAAAAATAAAAATATCACATGATAGAAAGAACTAAACATATATAACAACCAGCTAAAAGTATATCAAAACAAGAGTTAAATTCATTAACTTAATGAAGCAGCTAAAAATAGAAGAGAACAGAAACTATCAAGAGAAGGGCTATCATTTCTAGACCCTAGGCCATTATGCAGAAACATTTATACAGCACCCTTCAGGAAAGAAGGCTAAAATAAGGGCATGTCCCATGGTAACCATAAGCAGCTCGGCATGCTACATCTAGAGGGTAAGAGGTAAGACTGGGGAGCAGATATGCACACGTCACACGAGTTGGATACCAGATCAAAGTGTGGCTTTAGGCTACAGCTACTACCTACAGCCCATGGCAGAATAGGCCATATTGAAATGGCATGCAACAGGAACTGGAATGGAATTAAAAAAGAACCACAAACCTGTCGATGGTATGTGGTTGCTGACTCAAGAAATGACCCATATGCATGAACTGCTCTCTTAGTGTATGGCTTCAGAGTAGTTCTAACTTTCTCAACATGTGGCTTAGTGATCTCAGCAATTTGATCAATGTAAGGCTTAGAAAACATCTTGACTTCCTGGATCAACATAATCAAATAAATGAATATCAGCAACTGCATATGGATACTATAATCAGCACGTTGCTGCCCTTGAAGTAGTGGATGAAACTGTATATATTCTTTAAACAGAAAATGCAGCAATTACCTGGTAGTAGGGATGAGCGAACTCTTTAACTTTGACAACATGAGGTGCCACAGCATCTCTTGATGACTCGTAAAACTCCACTGATCTTGTTGATACCTTCTGTACATAAGGTTCTGCATTTTTCTTCAGGACAACCAATTTTTCCTTGACAGGAATCCATTTCTTCAATCATAGAAAGTAACAGTGTCAGCAAACTGTCAGTGCAAGATAAAACAAAAGAAACTAAGTACATGAACAGATGGGCATTACCATCTTAGCAGTCTCAATATGAGGTTCAGCCCATTTCTTTGCCTGAGCTGATTTTTCTGAAGCCTGAAATATTAGATATGCAGAAATATAAATGGTAGTTTTATTTGTGCAATGCATTTTGAATTGAAAATAAAAGCAGTATGAAGAGGCACCTTATGCAGAACATTATGCACAGCAGGTTTTCCATGTTCATTCCAGTGGCCTGATAAAACCTCCTACAAATGATGATAAATACAGCGGTGAGAGATCATGAGCATGTAAATTCCATGATAACACAAATTGCATTGATAAATATTTGTGGTTCCGCTCTTACCACATAGTGAGCATACTGTGCCGCTAACCAAGGTGGCAGCCATGCTCCATGAACCTGAAAAAGGAAACAAGAATAAATCATAAATATGCTGAAGATGGGAACAAGCAAGAAAAGACATCATCAAAGACAAGCATTTGCTGTTCAAGGCAGTAGAACTACAATATGTATACTCTGCTTAGCCTAGTCTAGGTAAAGTAGGTAACCATTATAACTTTAAACACATTAGTGAAGTGCCAAGCAACAAATAGTGCATCTTAAAAGGTATGTAGCTATTGTGGAACAAAAGATTTATCGAAACTTATCTCTAAAACTGGTAGCGAA